CTGTGCCCACCCTGCTGCATCTTGTCCCCTCCCCTCCCTTCCAGGTGCTCTCTGATAATACTTTGAACATAATTTGTTGTTATTAGTAGGTGTATTTTTGGCATAGTACATGCCAAGGGCCCCCAAATAGCATTAGCTTTTGGCCCTGACCCCCCTTTTGCAAGATGTCTTTGAAAAACCCACTGACAACACTCCAGCAAATGTAAAGACCAAGAACAACTTCTGAATATATTTCCTGACTTTAATGAAATAATCACTTCTGTTTAAAGTCTTTAACCATTATGTATTATATTCAACTAGTCCAAAAACATGTACATTTTTCTGAGTTAGCTCTAGCTAGCTAGATGCCAGTTAGCAAGCTAGCTGATTTTCAGGAGCAACAATTCACGTTTTTTTTTACAGCTGCTGTCACTACAAGGAAGAAGTTCAGCCAAAAATCACCAGTCATATACCAGTTAAGAGAGAGGTCTGAGGTGCTGCAGTTGGACCCCTTTTGACTACGTCTGCGCCTGGACACAGAAGAGCGACCCCACTGGACAGCTCTCAGCCAATCAGGATAAACACACACACAAGTTATAATTATAATATGCATGTTGGATGTGTGGAGCTCCTGGCCACACTGCAGAGTACAGAGCACCCTCCTCCTCACTGCCAACACGCTGTATACACAGCAGACACATTTAGATATACTGTATGCACTCACCTATAAAGAAGATATGTTTTTATCATATTATAAAGGTCATTTTACATTTGTTGTTGTGAAAGCCGAAACAAATAACCTTCTGAATATTTGTAGACCTCCTTTTATGCAGTTTAATGTTTACTGTGAGACACACATTATGGCAAAATGTAGCCCCAATTCATTCATCTCACTGCTCTGAAAATTATCATGAATGAGACACTTTTCCAGTTAATTTTTCAGAAACCTGACTAGTGGGAGTAATTTAAAGGATGTCTGGCAGTGATTTTCCATTTACAGTAAAGGTGGACTCCAGTAATTTAGCTGTTCAACTGTTTTCTGTAAAAACAGCCCCAACTCAAGGTCCGCTCACTAGCTTCTCTTCAGTGTTGAGAACACTGGCTGTAGATAAGACCTTTGATGTTTTAACAGTTTTGCACCCACTGTAGTTTCTTGGAACACGAGCGGTGGCAATCCGCATCGCTAGAAGCCACTACATCCTACACACTGGTCCTTTAAATGATAATTGAGTAAATTCTATCCGCTGATCATTTTATAAGGAGCACGGTCTACACCTGCTCTATATAAAAAGTGTCTTCAGATAACTTGTGTACTCCTTGTGACAAGCAAATTGACCTTTGTGTGAAAAATCTTTTTCAACTGGTTCCTTTAAAGTTACAACGTCACTCACAAAGACTAAGAATATTATGCCATTCAAGTAGTGTTATTGTTGGAATACATCTAATCTAATCTAATAGATCTGCCAGTTATCACCATTTTAATATAAAACTGCAAATTTTGTTCCAAAGGAAAATCTCAGTCTTGAGTTGGATTTGGTTTCTGGTCACCAGAAGATGATTCCTAATGATTCTAGTGACATTTCCTCTTAGCGCCAACATCATCCCAAAATTTCCACTTGTGCACAGAAAATTAAATACGCTGATTGCCATGACAAACCCTGAGCATATGGCTACCCCCAGAGGATTCATTTTATTTTATTTTAAAGACACCATGATCTTTGCGCTACCGCCACCCTCAGGACAAAATATCGAATTTTAGTTCCACATCTGCTATGGCTCCAGGAGCAGCAGAATCATCAGTGCGACGTTCATCAGCTTAGTCCACAGGTACTGTTCATTATGCTTTTTGATAGGCCAACAGCTTGGTTTGGACATAACATATGCAAAGTCAGATATCTCAAAGCCTGGGCAAATCACATGGCTGCATCAGTGCTTTTCATCCAGCAAGGGTCCTTGAGTGGGTTGTAGGAGGTCCCCAGCAGAAAAAAAGGAATAGAATGTAGAGCCAAGAGTGGCAGGTGTTTTATGGTTGAGTGCTGCCCCCTGGTGTATGAACAAAGAAAATGCTGAAGGAAATACTTCTTACTGTCCACTCTTTGATACAGTTTTACAGGTTTCAGTCAGTTGATACTGATGACAGTAAATGACCATATTAAATCAGTTAAAACATTATTCTCAAAACATTTCAAAACTAAATTTAAAAGATCTATACATTTACAAGTCTTTTTATGTGGGCACTGGGCATAAAGGAAACACATGCATGCACAACATTGACAGTATGGTCACACACACACACATACACACACAGACAGACAGACAGACAGACAGACAGACAGACTCAAACATACACAATCAAAAAGAGCCATCCAACCACGGTGGCCACAGGGCTGGTCTGATGGTCAGGTTACTGAGTGGATCATTAACACAGCTGATAACTGAGGACCAGAACCAACCAGTCAGAATGAACTAAGATAGGCACACACACAAATGATGCAAGCACTGAGGAAACAGCAGTTAAAGTTAGATTTGTTCTGTAAACTGAAGGCTGACTGAAGAAAAGTAATTTTGTCTGTTTGTGTTAAGAAATCTATAATGTTTCATACTCACAACTCAGTGCTGATATTAGGAATTATATTTAAATTTAAATATCAGGTAATACAGAAGAGATAAATGAATGTAAGCCAGCTGAGAAAATGTGTCTTTGAGCATGTTTGGATGGTTGAGAAAAAGTCAAGTTCTTACTGCAGACTAGTTCCTGAGCTTTGACTTTGTAGGAAATACATTATGTAAACATTAGGAGTGTGCACATCTCCCTTTTAAGACGATCCGATCTGTATCTAGATACATTATAATCCGATTCAGGAAAGATGCATTTTAATATGGAACAGTTCAATGCGATACGATGCAATCTGATACAGTTCTTAACATTTATTTAATGAAGACATTTATTTTTAAAATAAGTCAATTCTATGAAAGTGACATTGCTTACATTCAAATACATATATTTTATAAAATACCAGGAAATCCCAGCTAATTTCTTTCTTTACGTATGTAGTAGCATCTATACCAGTAAAACCGATTTGCGACTTGTATCGGTGAATCTTTATACCCTCAACCTTATCAGTTCCCAGGTCAGTTTGTGAGTTCACATCATTTTATTTTTAGGGATTATGAGCCTGTGTCACCGTTATGTGTCTTCTTTTCTGCTCAACCTCATGACCATTTGGAGGGTGTTTGTATGACCATATAAGAGAAGTCATATAACACATTTCCTTTTGCACATTTGTGATTAGTTGTGTGTTTTCCAACAAATAACAATGACCCTGTTTAAAGTTTATGGCTGTTGGATGACCTGCTGTGACTGTCGGCTGCTGCTTTATCTCTGCTTTATTATACAATATACTTTTATGTGTTGTTGGGAAACAGTATAAGTTCAATATAACCTTAAACCGGCAAGGAAACACAGTCATTATCATGCTGAACTTGCAATATCTACATTTATCATCTTGCTTTGTTTCTTTGGCACATATCATAAATTAAATTTTGTTTTATTTGGTAACACAATATTTTACAGATCCCTAAATTCCTAATAAGTTTTCTGGAAAGACCAATGT